ATAATAATAATAATAATATGTCGAATGAATGATTGAATGAATGAATGAATGAATGAATGAATGAATGGTCATTTTTTTTTAAATCTGAGAATAATATTAGAAACACAAATACCAAGCAAGAAAATAATGACCCGGTCCATCCGTAAATATCAAGGGACCACGTATAAAATCATGATATCTGGATATTTGTAGACGTCATCTCAGACTCAGAGATTGACAAGCGATGATCATCATCGCCCACGTTGGCTCACTGTCGTTGTACAGTCGGTCACACTTAGGTTAGTCCATGTCATGATGTTATCGGTCCACGTTGTTCTTTGTCTTACTCCACCCTTGGCCCTCTTGCCCCATATCTTGTCTTCGAGGATTTCCTTCATAGCAGGTGGTTGACGGGTGTTCTGGTGTGATTTGCTCCTTTTCTTCTATCTTACATCCATCGTCATGATCTCTCTACCTTGTTTATTTTGTTTGTTTCTCTCTTGCAATGCTTTTAATCCTCGACACTTATATGACTTCGGTGTGTTGCAAGTGCCGTAAAATTCTTACTAAAATTAAAAGTTAAAAAAAAATTAACATAATATATCAGGAACTGCCTGGTTGTCACGTGATTGAATGAATCAATGAATTATCATGTCCTTAACAGTCAGCACGGCATACTTGGGATGTTACACCTACCCTGCCACGCCCAACTGGCAGTCTGTCCCCTCCAGCCCTCACTGTAGGTACAGCTGCCGTAACAACAACCTCGGGGGCCTCGTGCATCCAGGTAACAACCAGTCCACACATCTCCGGTGCTGCTTTTTTAAAATTTGTGACCATCTCTGTTCTGATCAGATTTACTCAAAATATTTTCCGCACCTCTATCTTCAATCCCCCCCAACCCCCTTTTTTTTGTCCCAACGAAAAAAAAAATGTAGGACAAAAGTTAAAACTATTATCTTACTCCTTCAAGCGGTATATTTCTTAAACCTTTTGTATGAACCGCCTCTATCTCACTCACACATTGAATGTATTCAATAAGGTGTGACTGCTGACATTTCATGATTAGGGGGCCTCGAACAATACTTGTAGGTTTCATAAATACGAATTATAAACGGGCACCATTGTATATTCGAGGTTTAGAAAAATCCACCTAAAAGCACTTTCGTGTTAGGCTTCTGGATTATAAATGTCTTCAGAGTAAAAGCTACACCAAACGGTGACACTAACCAGCAGCTTAGCTTAGTTGACCTTACCTTTGGAAACTCACAACACTGACTAAACTCATGCTCTGCCAGTAACTCTACTTGAGTCCCACAACAGTTACGTCTGGGATCCTTCACAGTGGAGTGGGTAGTCTCCTGGTGAGGCCATCGGACTCTTAAACTTGAGAATGCAGATTCGTTGCAGAGGGGGGGGGGTCGAGTTCGAGGCTCAGCTCAGTCCAACGTTGTGTCGTTGGGATAGGAACTTTACACGAATATTCCCTTTTGGATCGGCCATATAGGGGTCCTGCCTAGTAAATGACATCATTATCGTTTGTGTTGTGTAGGGCATTTAACCTATCCAATTTGGCGGACGGTTTTACTCATAGGAGAAAAAGAAGGGGAAAAAATGTAAAACAAAACAAACAACCCCTCCCACCCCCTAAAAAAGCAGAAAAAAACGTCAACATTCCACACTCATTGGCAGTGTCTGAATGTTCCATAATATGGACCCCATTTTACATCCCAGCTTGGAACCAGGTTATAGGTCCCACAAGGTTGAGTCTCTCTCATACTATTGTATTGTTGTAGTTTTGATATTTTATAAGCCAACAATGTGTTGTAAACTGCTTCCTGTGGAAACTTAAGTATTGGGGTGGGTTTTTGGGGGGTTAGTTGTTAGTTTTTGGGGAATTTCTGTACATTTGTGCTATTAAATAATTTATTACCCTAACAACGAGAAGGGTAGGGTAAAATATGACTATGGTTAAAACATCATTGTCCTTGCTTTGTATATATAATAATATGCTTGGTGAATTATGATTCTTCTATCTAACTTGTCATTTTCAGACGAGTGCTACTGCGTGGGGACTGAGGATTTCCGGGAACCGTTTGGAGCCCAGGAGGGGCGGTGCTTACAAGAATGCTTCAGTAACACAAGAGTATGTGGCTCTTTTGGCGCGGTGGCGCTGTACTATAGCTCGGGTGAGTATTGAAGATAGATTTTATACCCAGTGCCCGTTGGGATATGGGTTATCGAATACAAGCCGATCACAAACCGATAGCCCGACTCCCAGCCTGAAAACAAACGAGTTTATTTTTGAGTTCGCATGTCGGGCGATCGGTTTTTGCCACGATAGCCGCTTTGCGCCCCCAATCTGGCTAGCCCCACTTACCAAAGCGAGTTGAACGTTGAACCAAACCGATCGCGCCAATGGGCACTTGGTACTACAGAACTACCGTTCGGGGCAAAACGTTAGTTTTTGTTGTTGTTGTTGTTGTTTTTGCTGCTGTTGCTGTTGTTGTTGTTGCTGCTGCTTTTGTTGTTGTTGTTTGTTTTTGCTGTTGTTTGTTGTTGTTGTTTGTTGTGGCTGTTGCTCTTTTGTTGTTGTTGTTGTTGTTTGTTGTCGTTGCTGTTTGTTGTTGTTGTTGTTGTTTGTTGTTATTTTTGTTTTATTCTTGTCTTTGTTGTTGTTGCTTTTGGTTTGGTTTATGGTTTCTCCTGTGGAGGGACAGGGGTGCTATTTTCTTTATAGGAGAGGAGGCCCTGGGGTT